TATATATATATATATATAAAGTAGGCTCTATGTTATACATGTGTGATAAGATGAAGAAAATTGTCCTAAAACCTTTACATATTCTTAATCAGGGTTTCCAAGAAAAACTACTTGATCAACAATCATAGATACATATATGGATGAAGCTGGAAATATTTCAGGAGGATTTATGTTCCCAGAAATGTCTCCACTTCTCCCATGGACTGTCCCTCAAAGCTTCAATACTCTTCACTTTCCGAGCAACCAAGTTCATCACCGCGATCCATTTAATCTTTTTCCACCAGTACCATCACCTTATGGAGGTTTATTCAACAGAAGATCATCTCCTTTTGGTCTCCAAGATGAGCTGCAGAAAGTGAGTGCTCAAGAAATAATGGATGTCAAAGCTCTTGCTGCCTCAAAAAGCCACAGTGAAGCTGAAAGGAGACGTAGAGAAAGAATTAATAATCATCTTGCTAAACTCCGAAGCCTTCTTCCCAGCACTACAAAAGTAAGTTAAGCCAAATTACAACACATGCATGTTTTTTCATTCTCATCCCTACAAACTTATTGTTATTTTATGACTTATTATTTCCTTATATTCTTAGAAAACCCATAATCCCTATAGTTTAGGAAAATCTGTTGTCCTAATAGATTTTGGAAAGGAACATCTATAATTCTTGTCAAATTGGGAAACCTTTCTCTTAGAGGTTTAAGACTATTTGAGATCTATATATAGGGGTTGTAGCTGGGGATTCTATAGATTGTATTGTGCTTTTTTTCTCATTCATAGTGAAAAACTCTTTCTGCTTCTGTCTCGAGGATTAGGCTTAGCCGAACCTCGTTAAATCCTTGTGTTGATTTTTTCTTCTCTATTTGCTTTGTGTGTGATTGTGTGCTAGTTAACCCACAATCTTCCACAACAATTGGTATCAGAGCAAGGTTCGGATTTCTACATATAATCTAGGGTTAAGATGTCTTCATCATCTTCAACAAAGTTACCAAGTAGAGAAATTTGACGGGGTTCTAGTTTCAGCCTATGGAAGATTAGAATGAAATCGTCCCTGGTGTTACAAGATTTATGGAAGGCAATTGATGTAGATTTTCCTAAGTTAATAGAGACAAAGAAGGCAGACCTAAAGGAGAGTGCTTTGAGTGCGATTTTCATGAGCGTTACAGATAGCGTTCTTTGAGAAATTGCTGAAGAAACTTCTGCAGCAACAACATGGAAGAAGCTGGAAGATCTGTATTATAAGAAATCGCTAACAAACCGCCTCTACTTGAAAAAGAGGTTATACAATCTCCGTATGAACGAAGGTAATCCTGTTAAAACTTATCTTGATGAGTTTAATTCAATTATAATGCACCTGAAGAACATGGATATCAAAATTGAGAGGGAGGATCAAGCCTTGATTGTGTTATGTTCTTTACCACCGTCATATGATACTTTTGCCGATACGCTGCTATATGGGAAAAATAACATTTCACTAGAAGATGTTAGTAATGCACTAAAATCTAAAGAGTTGAAAAAGAGCTTTCGAGACAGCAGAATTGAGGGCAAGGGTCTTGTGATTAGAGGAAGAACACAACAAAAGGACTTTAACAGGAAAAAGTCTACAGCCAGATAAAAGTCTAGAGCAAGGAAGCAAAACTTTTATGAGTACGAGGAGCAAGGTCACTACAAAAGAGGTTGTCCTAAGCTGAAGGAGAAAAGAGGGAAGCAGAAAATAGATAATTCGGCGAATATGGTTGACACTGGCAATAATTCTGATGATAGTGACTATGTAGGGGAAGTCTGTTCTGCGAGTTCTAGTCATGGGCAGAATTCTTGGGTTCTTGATTCCGGTGCTACTTTTCACATGTGTCCACACAAGAATTGGTTTATAACTTACAAGCAAATGAGTGAAACTTTGACATGGGAGATGATAATCCACTACCAGTAGAGGAGATATGTAACATCAAATTGAGAATGTTCGATGGAATTATCACAAATATTGAGTATTGGCATGTTCCTCAGATAAAGTGAAATTTGATTTCTCTTTCGACTTTGGATGATCAAGGGTATAAATTTCACTTAGAGAATGGAATACTTAAAATGTGTAAAGGCTCCATGGTACTCATGAAGGGTAAACTGCATTGTAAATTGTATCATCTCCAGGCCAGTATAGTTGAAGGGGAAGCGGCTGTAGCTTCTAGGAAAAGTGATCTGAATCAATCTAAGTTATGGCACTTGCGGCTTGGTCATATAAATGATAAGGGATTATTTTATTCAGTAAGTAGAATTTGTTTGAATGGGTACAAAAATCAAGTTTTGAATTTTTGTGAGCATTGTGTGTTTGGTAAACAGATAAGGGTAATGTTCAGCAAGAAGGAGCACAAGACCAGAGACAAGTTAGATTATATATACATTCAGACTTGTGGGGTCCAAACAGAGTTCCCTCCAAGAGTGGTGCCAGATATTTTATGACTTAGATTGATGATTACTCAAGGATGGTGTGGGTGTATTTTTTGAAAACAAAAGATGAGGCATTTCCGACATTTGTTAAATGGAAGACGATGGTTAAGAGGCAGACAAAAAAAAGTTAAGCGTCTTCGAACTGACAATGGGTTAAAATTTTGCAATTCGGAGTTTGATAATTTCTGCAACAGAGAGGGCATAGTGAGACACTGCACTTATGTTGGAACACCACAACAAAATGGTATTGCAGAACGTATGAACAGAATTCTTTGTGATAGGGCACGGAGCATGCTTTTATGCTCATGTGTTAGCAAGGATTTTTAGGCTGAAGCAATCCATACAACTTGTTATTTGGTCAACATATCTTCATCCACAGATATTGAGTTCAAAACGTTTTTTGAGGTATGGTCCTGTTCGCCTGCTGATTATTCAAATTTAAGGATATTTAGTTGTCCTACTTATACTCATGTGAGGGATGGAAAACTTGAGTCGAGGGAAAAGAAGTACATATTTCTAGGGTATGCAACTGGAGTGAAAGGTTATAGGTTGTGGTGCACATATCAAAAGACTCCGAGGCTAATTATTAGTAGGGATGTAACATTCAATGAATCTGCCTCACTGGACAGTCAAAGGGAGAAGGCAATAGCAGAAACAGATCGTGGTGTCAGTGACCGCATAAAGCTAAAAACTAAATCTCCACTAGCTCAGCCAGTAGTTCTAAAGGAGAGGAAGTGGAAGAGGTGCAAAAAATTGATCAATATGATAATGTTGATGCACCTGCGCAACAAAAACCATATAACATTGCAACATGCAGAGAGAAGTGAGTGATCAACCGACCGCAAAGGTTTGCAAACGTAGTTAATGGGAATCTTCTTGGATATACGAATTATGTGGGATTTGCTTTGGCAGTTGCAGGGACCGTTAATGCGTTTGAGTGTTATAGCTATCCAAAAGCTATTCCGGGTACAGAACCAAATCGACGGATTATTGCTATGGCTGAAGAGATTGAGTCTCTTAATAAGTTTAGGCGTTGCCTAGACTTGGTTGATATGTGCGGAAATGGGTAGAGCCCTCGCGACACTACTAGAAATTCGGCAAAAACCGACCAAGTCGACCGACCAACTTTGGTCGGTCAAAAAACCGACCAAAGTTGGT